CCAGTTAAGGCGATCCTCAATGCGCTAGCTGGCTGGCTGGCTGGCTGTCTGTCTGTCTATCTGACCATCTTGTAGGCCAGCACCATGGAATGTATGCATATTTTACCAACGTCAACGCATATGACGTACTATTGTGGCATAGTGTAGACTGCCCCCGGGATATTGTCGATCTATCGCCGATCGCCGATCACCGATGGACGTCGCGCCTTATTTGATATGCTCTTGGTTGCAGTAGCGGTTAACTGCCAATCCGATGCTTATCAATGCGTAATATTTGACCTCCGCCTTCTTGCTTTCGGCTCTCGTCCGTTGTATGCCAAATTGGTACAAATCTTTTTGGAGTCGTATGGAGGCAAATGATCGGAATGATCGCCATGTAAGCAGAAAATTGATGTTTTGCATAAACTCATTACACCGTGGGCAACAATGTTGGTAGTATGATCTAATAACGCAATTTTCGTTCAACGGTGCCAGATATGCAAAGTTATTTTGTGAGGGATTAGTTTATTTGAGAAGAATTGGAGCACCAAGTTATTTTGGAATTAAAATAGATGCATTTGGCACTGAACGCAAATTCCAAACAATTTGAATGTGTAAAGGTCAACGCTTGAACGGTAAAGTACCTCAAAATGTGTGTGTGTTGCGATAAATGTAAATAATGTTATTCAAATTTAGTTTCCTTGATTGAAGATCTTGGTATAACAGTAGTAGCTATACTCCTTCAAGTTTTAAATCAGCCTAACTAGAATGCTCTTTGTCTTGCAGAAACCTTATGGAAGGGGAGCTGGTACAATCCAATCATGCTAGCACAGTCACGAGTCTGTTCACAAATTAGTACAAAGTTTTCCAATACCAACTTCCTTCACTAAATGGTGTACGAAGTTAGATAACTGGGTATAATCTTGGACGGAAAACTCACCTGGTATCATATTGCAGACCAAAAATCCATGAAGGCCATCACTTCCTTATATTACTACTGGATATAACAGCGATGGTTCGCCCAATTATATTCTAAAAAAGGTGGCATGTATGCTTATTCCGGAGCACTACTCTTCATCTAAACAGAAACTCTAAAAAAAGGTGGTCATATCCTTATGGGCATACAAGCTAGAAGACTTTCCAACATCAACTCCTGTTTTAGTTATCGGGACGAAGAGGAAATCGAAAGGCGTCGAACACTTTCTCTGCCACTGTCCAGGATTGACGGAACTCAGAAAACACGTAACGTTTTCTTCATAAAATATGTTTCGAATATCTTTCTGACTCAAAAGGTGGTAAAAAATTTGCGATCTTCAGCGCTTCATAAATAAAACAATTAGATTCCATTTTTAGGAGCAAGGTCGGCAGGAAAGGCTAACATTGAGCCTCTTGACATCTGGTTTTGAAGGAAGAAATGCTAGTGGATAGGCGACAATCTGCGTAAAGAAGGCGGCAGTATTGCTAAGAAGGCAGAGGCAAGCCTCTCGGCAGGCCACGCGAAATGTGGAGAAGAACAGTCGATCGAGAGATAAAGCAACTCGGGATAAGCTGGAAGGAGCTCAAAGCCATTGCCCGTAACCAAACCAGAAGGCGCGCCGGCGTAGTAGATGTCCTATGTACCACTTTGGAAGAAGAAGATTACTTTATAATCGGAGTTTTCGACGAATCTGCTATTTCTCTTCATTAAAGCCATAAAGGTGAACAATGGGAATTTTATTGATCGTATTTAGGCGCGAATGCTAACACCAGGCGCCTTTTATGCATGCAATGTATTGGTGCATGTGTTAAAATTTCCTTCATTAAATTTATGAAATTTTTGCACCGGCACTTCTCAACCGCCATGTCAAATGGCGAGATGAGAGAAACAAAGCTACTACCTCACTTATAAAAATGAACTTTTGATTTATATCAATTTAAATATTGATTGCGTTATGGCATATGATACTTTCAAAGAAATATAAAGAGGAAATGCATGAGAAAGAAAAAATATGTCACTTAAAAAGCGTTTTAGTTTTTTCTATATTTTTTCAGATTTTTTATTGAAAAAGCACTTTAAATTTCTTAGAAAATATTGGCAACCCTACTTCAAAGTATGCTCGGCCCAGTCTGATGCATCCTCCGGACAATGCTTCTGGAGTTTTTCGCGGACTCTGCGTTGCTTGCAACTATGCAGGGGTGGTACTTACCTATAGATGCTATTGGCCACAGCTGCCTACTCACCTTTTTAAGTAAATACATAGCCCGATGCTAATGCATCCTCCGGACAATGCTTCTGGAGTCTTTTGCGGACTCCGCATGACTTACAATCATGCAGAGGTGGTAAATGAACTTTACCAATTGCCACAATGCCTACCCACCTTTTTGTTCGATTAAAAATATTTTTTTAAATAAATACATAAATGCAAATATACTGGGCTCCCCTCTCACTGAGTTATTCAGATCGGATTTTTCTTTTGTTTTGTATAAGAGCGGTTAATTTGTCACCCTAGAGAGCTGCTTGTACATTTATTGATGTAATATTTTAATTAAACATCTCAATATAAACGCTTTTTTGTTGATTCCGTGTCTCTGAATACTATAAATCCATCCTTTTCGTATTTTGTATAAAATTAATCACTCATTGTGCGCAACAAGGCAAAATATGAATATGAGGAGCTCAGAATCTGTAAGTAGTGGTAAAAGTCAGCGATATAAAATATACATAAGTAGCTTGTCCCCTTACGCTCGTAAACGAAGCAAATGTAAATCCGAAAAAAGGTTTTGCGCGAAACTCTAAAGGTCTTTGGGCGCGTCTAATCATAAACATCAGATTGCGTTGCAAGCGCGGTGAATGATTGTACCATGTGTGTACCTGAAAAGCGGCGGTTGCTACTTCCATTGACTGAAATTAAAAAAAAAAAAATGTGATGGAAATGTTGTCCTTGAAATCCATGTCACCTACTTACTTCATAGTAGGTCCTGTTACCCATCGAGCACCAATAGAATAGCTGCATGAATGCTGAGAACATATACATCTGGAATTTCATTGCCACCATGGGCTGATCCTTTGCTAAGAGTGCCTCAAATGCTGTCAGGCAAATCATAAAAGTGCTTGCGCCCATTTGTGAGACATAATTCCAATAGAAGACATCATTGAGGCGATCAATAAGCCTGAAAAGAAATAAAACCTAAGGCCGAAGATGACGCTGGATACGGCTCTAGAGTCTCAGTTAGTTTCATTAGACCCAGAGAGAGAAGTCCATCTCAATTTTTTCAAAACCGTATATAACATAATTTTTAAAGCTTTGCATTTTTGGGTCAATTTTCCTGACTCACCCAATAATTTTCTGATGAAACTCCACAGTTACTCTCAACTCATGCCAAATAATTTCCTCCGTAGCGCCGCCACGTATGTTCCGTATGTTTTCGCATAAAATACGTAAATTCAGCGTCGTCTGATTGAAACAATTTCCACCCAATGAATCCATCACAACTATGGACACCAGCATGTAGAGTACACAGAAACATTGAAATGCATAGATGCAAGCAAACGCGATGGGATGCTCGTCGCGATTGTCTAGCCCGAAAGGATATTTCGATCTGAAAGGTAACGTTTGGTGGGAGAATAACGGTTGTAGGCTCATAGCAGCAAAGAGTAAGAAGCTTAAAATAAAGAAACCGGTAGTCAAAACGATTTCACCGATAAAGAAATTGCGCTGCCATTGCCGTATACGGCGATTACTCTGACTCATTGGTAATAGCGCATGCGCATACTTAGCATGAAGTGTATCAAACTCATTAACTATGCTGTCGATTTCGGCAATGCTAGAGCGGTAGAGAAACATTTTGAAGAGAATCAAGTAAAGCTGAAAAGATAAGATTTGAACTGTGAATGTGTTTACATGAAAGATTTTGCAAAAGAAAATATACCACATAGCGCAGTATGCGAAATTCGATGAAAATTCTCTGATATGGCAGTGGACGTGCTCAGAAAGATAGATACATAATGTGGGTCAATTCTTGCGGTCCGAAAGCGATAAAAATTACTAAAGATTCATAAAAATACGCAAGGTTTTTTGTATGAAAAATGAGCAGGAAAGAAGGTTACTCATACACCACGTACACCCGAGTTACACGCTTTACTAATCGTATTTCATAAAAAAAAAAAAAACTTTTAGGATTTTCATTTGACCACTCACTATTTCATATTTATCTATCGATTTTCTTCATCAGAAACTTCATTATTTTTTGTAACAGAACAGGCTTTAGTACAGCTGCAAAAAATTTGGCACCGAACCTGTTATATTTTTAATTTTTGTTCTATTAAAGTGTGATTTTTATTTATATTAAGACTTTTAAATTGGTTCGTAAGATATCCGTGTTTAAATGAACCAACTTTTGCTTTAAGCTGAATAACGGTAAATTGCAAATATCTCAAAAGCGTGTCCATAGAAAAAAAAAATTAACTCGATTTTAGGAATCACCGAGCAATTCTACATAGGAATTGGATAGTGATATCCATAGAATATTTTTGCTGTAAACCAGTGAAACTATAAAATAATATTTATCAGTCCCATGGAAATTCTTTTGATAACTTTTGATTTTGAAATTTTAGTCATTATAAACAATTTATGAGATTGGATGAAAAGCTTTAGGCACATGTAATGGACCTGAATTGATATGAAGAGTAATATATGTATGTATATATGTGGGTATATGAATAACGACCGCTTAAAATCGATCTCAAATTTGTACTTTCTCTTTAGAAATTTTAGGTCTAAGTTAACGTTGACAAATACTAAGTTATGTAGTTTGACTATTGCCAATTAAATCTAAAATTTTGTATTGCATGCTCTCCACGTTTTTCGTTTTCAACCTCGTAAATTGTTTATAATAACTTTTGCTAAAATTTCAAAATCAAAAGTTATCAAAACAAATTCTATTGGACTGAGAAATATTTTTTTCAAATTTTTATTTTATTTTTTTATTTTACTTATTATAACGAACAGGTGTGGGTTTCTATGTATCCGGCGGTAGGTTTTATATTGCAATGGGCAATGTGCTAGAAAGCTCGGCATGTGTCAGATTAAATCTTGATTAGGGTTTGAGGGACGTCTTATATAGTCACGAGGTCATCAAGAAACAAGAGATAAAAATAAACGAGGGAGAAGGGAGAACTCAGTTGGTCTTCTTCGAGACTTAAAATTACCGATTGAGTAAACTCAGAATACACTAAGTAGGCGGAGCTGTAGGAGTCTTAATCATCTTTTGAATAGAACCAACATGAGGTTGCTTAAGGGTTGCCTAATCCGTTATAATAATCCGCGCTCTTGGATTGGCCTGACCACGAAGACGGTATGCCATCATTGTCTTGAAGTAGAAGCGACATCGAAGCACATTCTGTGTATTTGGCCGACTTTGGAAAGACCTACAGGGCAATTCTGGCTAAGATAGGTAAAATTTAATTTTTTTTATGCATAAATTGTATTTTTTTTTATAAAAACTATATTTTCTTCTATTCCCCTTAATTTTTAATAACTGTTGGGTCAGATGCACATTATTTAGGTCATATCAACATTGTCTAAC